TTATCTTAAAAAATATAAATTACGTTTACACAATGAAATACAGTATGCTCTAAACTAATTGTTTAAGTTTATAGTATTATTTATAAATTCTTATGTTTTATTCATTTTGAAATATTTCATTCAAATATTAACAGATATAAACATTAAATAAATATGAAGCCTTATTATGGCCCATTCAGTTTGGATTATTAAAATAATCTCAACTTCATTGGCCATAGTAGGTCCATCCACCATTGTTCGCGATATCACAATATTTCATGTGTATGAATTTAAAAAAAAAATTAATTTTTAATGTTGTTATAGAATATTTTACTTTCAAACTTTCAGTCACGAATAGTTTGCTCAGAAATAATTCCGACTAGAAAATTACTTTTTTGTTTACAGCCGTTATTGACATTGAATTTAGGTCATGTAATTTTAAATTGTTTATTATAGCAGAAAATATTGTAGATGCTAAAAGGTCTTTCTACTCTACATATATGGTTGTCTTGTAGTTGGTTCATAAATTTCGTACAGATAGGTGAGTACCTGTAGTTTATGTTTCTTGGACAAGCTGAAATTTGTACTTCATACTTTAATTAATATATCTATATTGCTTTTCAAACACAAAATGCCTATTTTAATGCATTTTTTCCGGAAACAAAAGTTTCGATGTAAATGCCATGCAACAGAACATCCTGCCAATTTCATTTCACTAAAATCAAAATAATTTACAAAATTTAAATTTTGTCTGTTTTCTATTAATTTATCTATGATATGTTTTATCATATTAAAAAGCTAAAATTAAGTTTGGACTTTATTGATATGAAGATAGTTTAAATATCAATATGACCGTGTATATTTTTTAAATGAATGTATTGTAGATTTTACAGTTTTAATTATAAACTAAAAATAACACACAATTCTGAATGAAATCGGCACCATGATTTAGAATATTCAAAAATTGTTGCTTGAGGAAACAGATTTTTTAAGAAAAAATTTTCATTCCAATTATGGAAGATCTTCAGTTTCATATTAACTTTAAAAAATGAACATGTTTTTATTTTTGATTGTAAAATGCATTTTACAGTATATTACGAAAGCTGTTCATATTTTCTGGAATTACCTCATACGAGAAAGATAAAACTTCTGTATGGAAAATAGATACAAATTTAAGCCAAGTAAAGTCATGACTTAAGTTTGTATCTAAATAAGTTAAAAAATAATTTCCTGAACTTAATATAAATGATAAACGAAGGAATACTTTAATTAGCTAGTGAATATTAGTTATAATTCTGAACAATCCCCTGTAAACATGAAGTTTTACGTGTTGCTTTGTCACTTTTAAAGTTGAAATCAGTATTTTATCTGAAGTATTAGCTTTATATACTCTTTTCACTTATTTGTTTTCTGTATTAAGCATTTAATATAAGTAATAATTTTATTTATTCAAAAATTAATCAACATAAAATAAATTTTTAAACTTAATTAACTTTATTTATTAATTATTTTTCTTTTAATTTTATTTCAATTAAATAAAATAATTACATAAAATAATTATAAATATCAGACAGAAACGAAGATGCACACATTCGGCGCGGCCAAAAAAAGCGGCAGAATGACGTCGCTTTTTCTCGCTGCAGAAGTCGACTTTGTGCGGTTTTTCTCGTGCTGCAAAAGTTATTTAAATTCTATCTTTTGCTGCGACCTCCGCCAAGACGCGTTTTTCTCAGCCAATAATAGCTCGTCTGGAAGTCACGTGAGAAAATACAATCACGTGGTGTTTTATTGGCGGAAAGTTGGACGCGGTTAACCGATATATTGACAACTAACATCAGAGTAAAGAAGAAAGAGTAATAAATTTAACACAAATTTCAAAAAATAATCATATATAATTTAATTCAAAGCAACCAAATCTTACTCGAAATACACTGCTGGCCATCTAAAATGCAACACTCTTAAGGAAGCATCCAAATCAAGTAAAATTTGCACCATGTGTTTGTGGCAATGAGATATGCAAATGTTTATTATTTTAGCACAAATGCACATCATGGGCACCTGTTTCATCATCTGCAAGCGCTATATAAAGGGAGAATAGAAGGCCATTTTGAAGTACTGGAATTGTTCTTTTGTGCCTTTTTTGGTGTAATCGGCTTCAGTATGCCACGCAGAAGAAAATGAGCGTTTTTCGAGCACATTTCTGAGTTTGACCAAGGAAGAATAGTTCCCTATAGGGATTGTGGATTATCCTTCAGAGAAATAGGTGATCGTGTCAGACGTAACCAAGCAACTGTGATGCGGATCTGTAACTGCTGGATGCAGGAGGGAACAACGGACCGACAGGACCGATTGCACCCACCTCATTGCACCAACTGCACGTGATGACAGGCATATCGTGTGCATGGCAGTGATGGATCGCTGTGCCACATCATGAACCATATCACCACAAATTCGGTCTGTTACGCAACAATCGGTGTCCGTGCGTACCATTCAACGTCGTTTGCAGCAGAGTGGAATGTCCGCGAGGTGTCCATTGCCGCATTTACCGTTGAGTCAAAACCACAGGCGTTTGCGCCGGCGATGGTGCGATGAACGACAGAATGGACAACTGAATGGAACAACATTATTTTTACTGACGAATCCCACTTCTGTCTGCAACACCATGATGGTCGGATTAGAATCTGGAGACACCATGGTGAAAGACTACCGAACTGTTGCCTTATGTATCACCATACTGGTCCTAGACCCGGTATTATGGTTTGGTGTGGTATTGGATTCCACTCCCGCACTCCCTAGTACGCATTGTCGGTCACTGTCCAGCCAGCGCTATATTTCTGAAGTGTTGGAGTCTGTTGTTCTCACATACCTTCAGAGCTTGCCAACAGACACATTCCAACAGGATAATGCACGACCACATGTGACACGCATTGCTCAAGACTTCTTCTTCATCTATCAGATTGCATTGTCGCCTTGGCCTCCTTGTTCTCCCAATCTCTCGCCAACAGAAAACGTCTGGTCAATGATTGAAGAACGACTGGCCCGGGATACACCACCCACTGCTACACTATATCAACTTTGGCAATATGTGGAAGCAGCATGGAATGCTATACCCTAACAACATATCCAAACCCTCTTTGAGTCAATGCTGAGGCGTGTAGCAGTGGTTACAGCCAGCAATGGCGGCAACACTCCATATTGATTCCATCATCTTCCTCACGTCCAAAAAGACTGTATTTTCAATAATTTGATCTTTGTACAACGTGTTATCTCCCAAATAAATTTGGCTGTGATATCTCTGGTCCTTCTTGGTGTTGCATTTTGGATGGCCAGCAGTGTAGTATTCTTTATCGAGAGACCTAATCGAGGAATAAGCGTATTTTGTACACCAGTTCTTTCTCCATCCAAAAATATCTCTAATCTATCAAAATGTTCGTTCGAATCTTCGACAAAATTTTCTAACTAAATAAAGGAAGCCGTACAAAACAAAATTTGTAAATACGTGGATAGCGGCAGAGTCGGGATCGTTTGCCATCTTGAATACTAAACATATGCACCGAAATGTAAGCGGATTGCCGCTTGTGTGTTGTGGCTACATCGCTTTTCCTTGCCATGCCGCATGTGTGCAACCTCTTTAACAGTGAAATGATTATGTTTTGAATTACTTTCAGAACTAGATTTTTATACACCTCGTGCAAGTAGTTTTTGTGTTTTTTTATGAAAGAAAGTATAAAACAATAAAATAACGAAACTATAAAAATGATCAGTTAAATTTTACCGTTAACTAAAACCGATAGGAAATCGGCTGCCAAAGCAGCAAGGTTAACATTTGAGAAGAAAATACAGTCGACCCCCCTATAACGTACGTTCCTATAACGACAATTCCTATAACGTAGCGAAAAAATTGTAGCAACTTTCGTATAACGTACCTCCTATAACGTCGTTTCGCGACAAGATTGATAGAGTCTGGACCAATAGTGGATGAGCAGCCGAACTACTTTCCTCCGACCCTGCGCCACGCTACGGAGCGGNCTTGACAGAGGAGATGAGTTTATTCACCTTCTCATATTCTATTCTGATTTGCTCTGCTATTCGATTGAGACCATGGGCCAAGCATGTCACATGGACAAGAGCAGGGGAAAAAACCTTGTGTTTTCATGGCAGGAACCATGTATGAAGCAGCATTTGTTATGGCTACAAGAACTTTGTCTTCATCAGGATTAATCATCATTAGTCCATTTTTCACAAAATGAGCCACTGTTTCATGGTTAGTTTTAGTTAACTATTTGGTGTAGATCAGGTGAGCTCTGGAAGGTCCATTGGGATCAAGCTTTCCAGCAATCAAGTTGGTAACGTAGCATCCAAGACTGTCCGTTGCTTCATCAACTGAGAACCACAAGTAAGAGTCCTTAAGATAATCTCTTATCTTGGAAATAACTTCTTCATACGCAGGTTGCACATAATTCTTTCGAAGTGTCAACTCTGAAGGGATTTTCTGGTGGCAGTACTTTTCCAAGAAATTTCTGAAATGAGTGTTCTCCAAAGCTTTAAATGGAATATTTGCTGTTATAATAGCATGACAAATCAGCACTAAACTTGTTTTTCTTTAATGAAGTCTCTGAAGTCTGAGTCAAGAGAATCTGTTTCATTTTATATTTTCCTTCAACATTTGATTTATGCAGAGCACCTTGTTATTCGCTTAGCCCTCAAGTGGGTGTACTCAATATTACATTTTAAATAAAATCAAACTTTTGCTTATTTTTGATAAATCATGATAAATTAATTTATATTTAGAAATTTAAAATATAAATAACTTATTTAAAATACATAAGACGTTAGTTAGGAATTATTAACATTTATTATCAGTGATGTCGTTGTCGTTGGCAGCACGATTCTCTCAATGTTTATATAACTTTAGTGACAGAACTGTGATGAGAATGGTTTNTAAATCATGATAAATTAATTTATATTTAGAAATTTAAAATATAAATAACTTATTTAAAATACATAAGACGTTAGTTAGGAATTATTAACATTTATTATCATGATGTCATTATCGTTGTCGTTGGCAGCACGATTCTCTCAATGTTATCTCTTTAGTGACAGCTGTGATAAGAATGGATTCTCGACAGAAAGTTTTATTATTATTATTATTTAAACATCTTGTATTGAAGCAGCGTATACAAGCTAACAGAGAAGAGTATCGTTTGACACGAACAAAAGCATTGAAATGGCGACAACGAGCAAAAGAAAAGGCATGTGTTGTAGCCATGATTTGTTCTACGCTTCCTAGTGATCGAATTTGGAAGATCCCAAGAAATCAGAAATGGTGGGAAGAGTGTGTTCCTGCAATGGATGAAGTAAGTTGGCGTGAAAACTTTAGAGTTTCTAGAGAAACGTTTAATTTCTTATGTGCTGCATTACCTGAAATGAAAAGAAATAATACTCACTTGAGACGATGTATTTCTACAGATAAAAGAGTAGCAATTGCTCTATATACATTGGCATCGTCGTCTGAATATAGGACTATTTCACATTTGTTTGGTGTAGGAAAATCCACCGTTTGTAAAATTGTTATAGACTTCTGCAATGCAGTTATAAATAATTTAATGTCTACCGCCATCCAGTTTCCACAGACTAGAAATGAAATTGACTTAAAAATTCGTGATTTTTACGAGATTTGGAATTTTCCACAATGCTTTGGATCAATTGATGGAACACACATTCCTATTTCACCACCAAAACAAGACTGCATTGACTATTACAACTATAAAGGATGGTATTCTATGGTCCTCCTTGCTGTTGCAGATGCCAAATATATGTTTACATATATAAATGTAGGATCTCCTGGAAGGAATAATGATGCACACATTTTAAAAAATTCTCACTCTCTTTTAACATGCCTACAAAATATAAACTCCTTAGAATTAGGGGAAAGAATTGGTGGAGAAGTTGTGCCACCTTTAATTATTGGTGACTCTGCTTTTCCTTTACAGCCAACTTTAATGAAGCCATTTCCAAGTAAAACAGAGGATGAAATAGAAAAAATGTTCAATTTTAGATTATCTAGAGCTCGACGAGTAGTGGAAAATGCCTTTGGAAGATTAAAAGCAAGATTTCGAAGACTTTCTAAACGAATGGATAATAGGATTGATATATCAAAACAAATAATTAAAACTTGTTGTATATTGCATAATTTGTGTGAGAAGAGGGATGATCCAATAGAGAAAACATGGCTTAATGAAATAAATCAGTCTGATAGTTCATCAGAAAGAATTTGTGTTATAGGGATAAACAACACCAAAGCTATTTCAATTAGAAATGCTATTGCAAGAAGTTTTAGGGATGAAGATTAAGATTATAAGGATTTTAAATTAAGTTCTCAAAACAAGATTT